TCGTCCCTCTTGACCTCCTCCTCTCCTTTTTCTCTCCGCTCCGGTCTCGACTCTCGACGGCGCACTTCCACCGTGCTGATGGTTCCTGATACCGAGATGCTGGCTTTACGCAAGTGACAATTTCTTTCTGAGCCTGATCGATGATTATCAGGACCTCCGGAAAGAGAGAGGGTATGAATGGGCTGGTGAGTTGGCGGAGTAGTTGCTGTGGCTATTGATACTCGATAACATGGCGAGTGATGCTGAAACGGGAGGTACGGACAGAGAGGCGGCGAGTAGTTATATTCCGATATTGAGGAAGCCGGACGGTGTGAAACAACTCCTCGCTGGAGCTGTCCAAGAACTTGCTGACTGGACCGAAATGATGTGGTGCTTCTGACTATGTCTCGCTGCTCTAGCCCTTGAGAGGAGTTACTTGCATGTCCTTTTCGTTTTGCGAGAATCGTAGAAACCTTCACTTCAGGATGGATGAGCTTGGGAATACGGTGTTGTGAATTTGACGATCGTAGTCTCCTTCCGGACGATGTCATGAATTGTGTTCAATAGAGAGCAGATATAGTGGTCGAAGGATTCTGGGCACTGGTATTACATCGACCCATCGAGGAGACATATACCAATCAAACAGCCACAACATATTGCTCCTCCCCCAGCGTGAGTCTCTCGCCCTTCGCTTTTCACATATAGTCTGGGCGACAGCCCTGGGGATCAAGAGCCAAACACAATTCCATCCGCTCAGACCAATCAGGAGGGCTAAAAACTCGCTTAAACTAGCCCCCACCCAAACAAAACAAACAAACAATCCAATAATTCAATATCGACTACTTGTACCCCAACACCAAAGTTGGTACTTTAACTCAGCCCAGGGGGTGTGTAATGAGATGTAATAAGGGTTTCCTAACTTGTCCGATGACGGTACGATACCACGGCGTGCTTAACATCCACGTCGGTTCGATCGTATGCCGAGGCACCCCTTATGCGATGTCGTCGTATCTCTAGTTTGTATATTCGTAGTTATTTAGTTGATTTGATTTTTTTTGGCCCTTTTTTCGTTTTGCAAACGTTTTGGTATTTTTTGGACCCAGTAACAATTTTTTGGGGCGATTTTTTCCCTTCCGAATGGACGGGGCTCGGCGCTTGAGTTCGGTCCGCTTCGAGGTGAATGAAGGTGAATGCTAGTGCCACCACCGGAGCCTCGTCTTCCAAATGAGATATTCAGCCTCAGGGCCTCACATTTTTGCTACGCCTTAATGATCGGCTCTGATACAGAAACTTTCCACCGGGCCAGATAATGCATTTGCTGCAGCGCAGAACTGAAGTTGATTGACATCTGGATCATCTAGGTATTACTTTTTCTATCAGAGAAATGGCTGTTGCAGCTTTCACCGTTCACGAATACCGCTCTGGATCTTGCGAGCGAGGTGCAGAGCTACATACTTCATGTGGAGACTTTGCAGCTTGGCTATCCGCGGCCCAGCAGGGACTTGAAAGGGTCATCTTCAATGGAGGTTTCAGACTGTCACCGAATTTTGGGGGGCTGAGCTTTGTTCCATGAAAATCAAGAGGCAAGGTGAGAACTCGCAAACAAGGGGCCAGTCAGGCGCCAGGAATGGGATGTTCATGGAGCTCGCTGCTTCTAGTCCTTTGCTGACATGTTATCATATGTGCATTGGTATATATATATACGTATTTACTGCCCTATATCTGAATTCCTCCTCCTTGTCCACTTATTCTATCAATATATTTCGCTCTACAGCGTCGTGAGTTTTCTATCTGTCAGTTGACGAAGTGGGCCATCTTTGACCTGAAATTCCGAGCGTTGGGTAACAGGCAATTAAAAACATCAATCGAGATGCAGAATAGTATGAAAATTCAATCAAGGATAGAATATTACTATCTACCTTGGAGGAACTTCAGCTTTGATACACACGCTATCTCCTGTCGTCGTCGAGTTGTGTTTCTCTTTTACTGGATTGAAGTCACGAACACTAGTGCTCCTTCCCGGAAGGGAAACCTGTCATTTACGTGTGTAAACCCCAAGGTCTTTCCACGTCAATGTTTCTTTCTTTCTTAAATACAACCAAGAAGAACTAATGGAGGTACTTATCCCTTGCCGTGATAAAATTCCGCTCTACGAGCGCGGCTGTGCGATGACTTGGAACTTCCTGACCTCGAGGAGGAGGAGGAGGAGGGGGAGTTCGATGAGCAGCTGGTATACAAGAAGACTCCTGTAGGTAGAGCGCTCACTGTTTCCGTGCACCTATAATCCGCTCGCTTTGCTGTCATGGACGAAAAATCCGATTACGCTTGTTACGTCAACTAACATAGCTGAGTATTCTCCATGCCCATAGAAGATATGTAAGCGCCATCTTTGGCGATAATCATCCAGGCGAAATATCGCGAATATCTTCTATGGCCTGCTTTGAGAATCTCCTTGGTGACCATTTTTCCAATCACGTCAACCCCCAATCGTGCGAGCTCATTGTAATACCACAAAAAGCTGACGTTATGCCTAGAAAAATAGGGAGAGCTTTCTTCTACCTGGTCCTATAAGACTCGGACGAGACCGGATTTTCTCGTAAGGATAGTAAGTGTGTTGTATCTGACTAATGGAACCATATACTAGTTCTTATACCGGGTTATCATACAGCAAGGACAACCTAGGAAATCACCGTCTCTCCTCTTTCCAACTTCAACCTTGTCTCCGTATATTGAACTTGACGTTGATTGAAAGTGGGCGGATGCCTTGCTTGTCGTTCTTAGGAATGGGATAGGATGGTAGGTTGGATGCTATTCAAGATACCATAAACATGGAGGAATCTACCGAAGCTGGGATGATAAGGTTGACTTTCGGCCCAGTCTTTGGCAGATGGGTCTGACATCCGTTTCAAGGGCCGGGCATACCAAATATCACGTTGTATCTTGCGTTGAAAACGAAAGTGTACTGACAGTTATTAATCGTTATTCCATATCTCCGTAGAGGTGAGGTCCTTTCGCTCCAAAGCATTGAAATGCCCTCCGAACATGGTTTAGAGAAAAGTGTGCTGCTTGCTTATGGCGGGGTATATGTGGGTGAATACCACTGCTTCAGTGGGCCATGACAGCGTCGACTTGGTGGGGAACAGCACCTTTAGCAGTAGCTGGTTTCTCAACACCATCCATATCCATATCAGCGTCACCCTCTCCCTCGCCAGCACCCTCTTCCTCCTCAAGCTCCTCATCCTCGCTTCCACTGCTCTCAGCCTCGAGGTCCTCACTACCCTCATCGGACTCATCGGCAGCATCACCATCGGCTCCAGCCATCTCGGCATCTTGCTCCATGGCATCAGGGTCAGCAGCAGCGGCCTCGCCCTCAATAGCCTCATCTTCTTCCTCTTCGGCCTCCTCAGCTCCATATTGATCTCCATCAGCAACTAGGTCGGCCTCGGGTTGCTCGGGGGGGAACTCGGCTGGGGCAGAGGCCTCAGAATCCCTGCAGATCCAGATTAGCAGATGAGCAATGACCAGGTGGCTGCCTAACGTACCACTTTATGGCAAAACGGGTGACTCTGGGCTTCTCAGCGAGAACGTTGCGGCGGACCTTCTCAAGGATGGGTTTGGCTGGGGGATCCGCATTGAGCTCCTCAGAGTCATACTCGTTGTTGACATAGTATCCGACTCGGACGAATTCGCGGCCGTCGTAGGCGCAGGTAAGGAGGATGACGGTGACGCCGAGGATCTCAGCATCTGGAATGCGGGTGGTGTTGGGTGGGTCAGCCTGGAAGATAAACTTGTTGACGCCGACTGGGATGGGGCCGACGAGGAGAGAGTCAAGCTCTTGGTCATGCTCATCGCTGCTGTTGTTAGCTGCGATTCTGTCAGACGAATAGAGGAAGAGGGCATACGAGGTAGCAGAGCCAACGTAGGTCAACTTCCACTCGAGATCTGCCAGATGCGAATTGATTAGTATTTGTTTGTATCTTTTGCTCCATCTGCGGTGTCACATACCCTTCTGGAGGGGCTCAAGACACTCGAAGGTGATCTCGAACTCGTACGGGTCGCCGAACTTGGCTGGGTTCTTGAGAACGTTGACGCCGAGGAGAGATACGACCGACATATTGGAGGCAGTAGAGTTTGATGTGTGTTGCGATGTTCGTGCAATGGAAGTTGGCGGTTGGATCTTGGAAGTTGTAGATTATAATTTCTATTGAGACCAAAATTGCTTCGAGCTATGTTGTTCTTGTTGTTTGTTTGTTTGTTGTTGTTGTCGTCGTCGTTGGCGAAGGGAGGGGGTCTGTTTGTAATGAAAGAGCGAGTGCACGGTGCTCCAAATAGAACGCGAGAAAGGCCCGTTGGACGGTTAGGAGGCGCGTTTTTGGCATTTGGTCCCACACCGCGTTTTTCAACCCTGCCAAGATATATTAGTCACGTGGTATGTATCCTCAACGCTAACCTGGTCTTGGCTTAGCTCCGACCTGGCAGAGTCTTTGATACTTGAACGCGGCAGTGAACGACTCCAACCCAGTCACCGTCTTCCGTATCATCTTCTGTCAAACACGACAGCTCTCTAGTGCAAAAAGTGCCGCCTTCCTTCAAAGATTGACAGGTCCATCAACTCTCCCTGCTTCTAAGGTACACCAAACTGACTTGCGACAAGACAGTGCAGTAGGCGTGCTTCCCAGCCCCCTCAAGTCCGACTGCTAAGTCCCAACTACGACCTTCCCGGATTCCCCAAACCTACTCTTTACTATGGCGGAGGAAGATGCAGAGATCGCTCTCTTACATCAAATGCAGGCAGGGCAAGACAGTGTAGCATGGGATGATGAGGTTGCAATTGGGGCCGCCACAGGCGATCTTCCATCAAATACTGAGCATACAAACGATCAAGAAGTCAAAAGAGAAAATGTTGCAGATGACCAAGTTCTTCGTGCTTTATCTCCTTCGGCATCTGGTGTGGCTTCCGATGGGGGCGATTATGATCCGGCTTCTATTTCTATTCTTCCTGCAATTTCCATTGCTACAGAAGGGGGATCCAGATCCAGTTCGCGAGGATCGACGCGGAAGCCAAAGACCGTGGGAGGATTCATCGCCGACGACTCGGATGAGGAGTGCGATGCAGCAACAGCAGTGCAGGTTGGAGCTCTTCAGTCAGCAGCTAACCCTCATAATCGAGCAATTTCCCCTTCTCCACTCCAGAACTCTGTCAATTCGCAAGATCTGCCAACCAACCCCGAGAATCAAGGTGATTCAACGGCTGCACAATCTCCCACTACTCTTCCCGTGAACTCAAACCATACTGGACGTGCTTCTGTACCAGTTCAAGCAGCACAGGTACTTACTTCTGCAGCTCCCGCACAAGTTGTGTCTCTTCCAAAGGCTCGTCTTCCGCATGACCGAATCGGCATTCTTGAGGATCGAATCAAGGAGGACCCTCGTGGTGATATTGACGCCTGGTTGTCTCTCATCACGGAACATCGAAAGCGCAACAAGATCGATGATGCTCGAGCCGTGTATGAGCGATGCCTCAAAGTTTTTCCCCAATCTGTAAGCATTTTGAAACAATTCCTAGTGCCATGTACTAATGCATCACAGGCGGAATTATGGGTTGCTTACATAGAGATGGAGTTGGAGAACGACAACTTCAGCTATGCCGAAGGTCTCTTTGGCAAGTCCCTCTTGACGGTCGCCAACGTCCAACTTTGGCTCGTCTACCTGAACTACATTCGCCGAAGAAACGACCTTACAAACGATGTAACTGGAACGGCACGAACTACTGTCAATCAGTCTTACGATTTTGTCTTGGGTAGCATAGGCATTGACAAGGACTCAGGCAAACTATGGCAGGAATATATCCAGTTCGTTCGTAGTGCGCCCGGCCAAATTGGTGGAAGCAGCTGGCAAGACCAGCAGAAGATGGACCTACTCCGAAAGGCATACCAGCGTGCTATCAATGTCCCCATGTCTTCGTTGAACGGTCTGTGGAAGGAATACGACCAGTTTGAGATGAGTCTCAACAAGATCACTGTTGGTTGCACCTCCTAGCTTTCACTAGAACCGGAATACTAATGTCACATAGGGTCGCAAATTCCTCCAAGAAAAGTCTCCCTCGTACATGTCTGCCAGAAGTGCCAACACAGCTTTGGAGAACATCACCCGCGGACTAGTGCGAGCAACTCTACCTAGATTACCTCCCGCTCCCGGATTCGAAGGGTACCAAGAATACCAGCAGCAGGTGCAACTCTGGAAGGGATGGATCTCGTGGGAGCAAGAAGACCCGCTGGTTTTAAAGTCGGAGGAGCCCGAGGTTTATAGGCAGCGAGTTTTGTATGTTTACAAGCAAGCAGTCATGGCCCTTCGATTCTGGCCCGAAATCTGGGTCGATGCTGCTGATTGGTGCTTGAATAATGGTTTGGAGAAGGAAGGAGATCAATTCCTCAATGATGGATTTCTTGCCAACCCGGAAAGCTGCTTGGTTGCATTCAAGAAAGCTGATCGTCTGGAATCTACACTAGCAACGGGCGAATCTGACAAAGGCCTTGCCGAGCGCGGTGCAATCGTTCGAGCACCTTTTGACCAGCTGCTCGAAACTCTGTACGAGATGCACAAGGTTATGAAGGTTAAGGAGAAGCTTGAAGCAGACAAGGTCGATGAGACCCCCTACGTTGATCCAGTCGATGCCTCCATCAGAGCCATCACTAACGCGGACGAAGACGAAGAGGAAAACGATGCAGAGAGAGAGTACAGGGAAATAGCCAAGGCCGCCAAAAAGAAGGAGATCAAGGACAGTTACGCAGCACAGACTGAACTGCTCTCAAAGACCATCTCGTTCACATGGATTGCTCTCATGAGAGCCATGCGCCGAATTCAGGGCAAGGGCAATCCCAAAGAGGCAGTGGGTGGGTCAAGAAAGGTCTTTGCTGATGCTAGAGGTCGTGGCAAGATAACGAGTGATGTGTATGTGGCAGCTGCTCTTATTGAACATCACGTCTATAAGGACCCGGCTGGCACGAAGATCTTCGAGCGAGGAGCAAAGCTGTTTCCCGAAGATGCTGCTTTCACACTAGAATATTTGAAGCATTTGTTGTCCATTAACGATACGACGAGTAAGAATTCCGGAACTTACCGCAAATTCCGTGCTAATTGCCACACAGACGCCCGTGTTACGTTTGAGATGGTGGTCAGCAAGTTGACATCGAAGCCAGAAAGCGTACACAAGGCGAAGCCGCTTTACGCGTACTTCCACAAATATGAATCCCAATACGGCGAGTTATCCCAGATTAGCAAGTTGGAGGCACGTATGGCGGAGCTGTTCCCCGAGGACCCGAAGTTGTCCCAATTTGCCTCACGGTACAGCGGCGTAGGCTTTGAGCCGACGGGCATTCGTCTTATCGTCTCTCCTGCCACCCAGACTCGGCCTAAGGGTGTAATGCAGTCTATCGAACACCCACCGCCTGCTATGCAAATCAGCCCTCGTCCCCAGTATGCGCCAGAACCTAGCCGCAGTCCCAGACCTCAATACGCCCAGACAGCAGTCACTACCAACTCCCCGAAGCGCCCATTTCCTGTTGAAGATGTGGAGAGTGAGCTCAATAGACCTCGAAAACTAGCTCGTGGCGAGTCTCCTTTAAAGGGAGCCGCCGGTCGACGCTTGGACCAACAGAAGCGACTTCAACAGGGCACTCCCTCGTGGAACGCTCCTCCATTTGTGGTTCCCCGTGATATTACATTTCTACTTAGCATTATCCCCCGAGCTGATCTTTACGCCGCCACAAAGTTCAAGCCTGATGCCCTCGTCCGTCTTCTGAGAGAGACTATCGTCCCCGACTACACCACCTGGAAGCAAGCAAAGGAGGAGTCTCAGGCTCCGCAGCAAAGACAATACGGTACTGAATCTCATTATGCTACAAAATATTCCGGAAATACCCTATTCTTACCCCAGCAGCGTACACTGGCAAGAAGTGGTCCTGTCGAGATGTCCAGCTGGGGAGGTTATATCCATAAACAGCAAAACTACCATGGCTCTCAGGCTCCACCTTCTTTCCGTGGTGACCAATTTCCTCGTCCTCTTCTGGGAGCCAGTGGCATGCCTGCGTTTCTACCTCCCCCTACCCCCCTGTCGCCAGGATTTCAGATGCCATATCCGTATGTAGCAGATACAAGTAGATCTGGCTACGGCTACGGTGATGAGCAATCTGGTAATAGAAAGCCTGCTGTCCCCCCGCGCTTGTGGTCTGCTGCAGATTGGTATGGATCGAATCGCTAATTTTTGGGTTCTCCGTCAGGATATTATGGTCGATAGGTTGATGCGTCAAACCTAGTTTCTGTCTCCTGTCAGACTGAAACGGATCCTATTTGCGGTCTCAAATGAACGACATATATGAACGAGGAAAGAATAGTTGATGGGAAACGGATGGGATGGTGGGTTCCCTGGGGTTGGATGGGCAAACGTTTGTATTTTAGCGTGGAGTGTTTCCTTTTGCCCGTGGTGTCGTCTCTGCATGCGTAAATGCATGCTATTCCACAACTCAGATGGGCTGGGTCATGGACATTTTTTTTTTAAAGTTGAGGGGGCTCTGCCCGACCTCCTCGAATATTCATACCACAGGCACGGCGTTCAGGTGGTCTCTCCGTGGAAAGCAGGAGCGGAGTGCTTTCCAAAATGTACCAATGAAATAATGCTAGGCCAGGAAGGCTTTTCTTGACATTTTCGTTTGTTTGTTTGAACTGCATCTATTGGATTTTCTTGATCTGGACATTTGGCTTCTGTCCTTACTCTTGCTTTGCGGAATTGCGGTTATGTGCTCTATGCTTGCTTGCCTGTTGTTGTTACCATTGTTGTTGTTATTGATTTGCTTCTGCGCAATCACTCACGCCCCCTCCAGCCATTGGAATTGGTTTGAGCTTGTGGACTCAGCCCTGTACATGTTCATCGAAAAGAAGAGTAGGAAGAAAAAAGACAAGAGAGACTCCAGCGGTTGCTTGCGGGGAGGTCTGTCTCGTCTCGTTGTGCTTGAACCCCCGAGATAAATGCATGGTGTCAACCTCCAGTCCTCCAGTCCTCCAGTCTTCCAGTCCTCCAGTCCTCCATGCCGTCCGGCTCCTTGCACCTTCCCTATCCCCATCACAGGTCCCGAAAAGCGGGTCCACGCACTAGTCCTCAAGCGACCCATATCTTCTTTTGGGCTTAGCGCAGCGCAGCGACCACCTACCTGAGATTTCCCTTCTTCCTCCATCTATCTCTGCTATCCTCCTCTCCCCCCTCCTCATCCTCAACCTCTTTCCTCCCTCAAATTCTTGTCTTCCACCTTTTACGTACTGGGGTCTACCGGTCGGTACTCAGCGCGCGGTTCTCTGGTAAGTACGCTCCCTGTTTGCGGCTCTCTTGTGTTTGTTTGTTTGTTTGTTTGTTTGTTGGCCCGTTTGCGTGGGCAACGAGTTGAGATCGATTGGTTTCGATCTCGAACTTGCCGCTGCGCCCCTCCGCTTCCATCTATTTAACTTGTCGGGGCCAATCGGATTCATACAGCTCGCTGACTAGGTTGCGCGCAGCACTTCGTGTGGCAAATCGTCTGCCGTCTTCGTGCAGCAGTAATAGCAAGTACCGGCCCAAGCAGTGAGTTTCCCCCCTGTTTACTTTGCCCCTTCCCCATGCCGTGCTCGCTCGCTCGCATACGCTTAAACATCGCTGCGTGTGTGCTCGCCGTCGTCGCTTGCAGCGATTGATGCCACCGCCGCTATTTGGAATGGGTCTGTTCAATTGCTGATTCTACATCGCGCGCAGGAAGTCTAGCAAGCCTAGCAAACCAAGCCTAGCAACCATGCCTGGTGGGGTCGGAGCTGGTCGTCACCGCAATGGTGACAACAACGGCAGCAGCGACAACAATGGCGGAAACGGCGGTCACAACGGACAATATCACGGCGGCCACCCACTCTATCAAAACCAACAGATGTCCCAGAACGGAGGTCCTCTTCCTTCCAAGCCTCGATCGGGAGGTTTTGATGGTCCTGGAGATCGCTCTGGTAACCTCTCCAACATGACTGGCCCCTCTACTCCCGGTGCCAATACCCCTTCAGCCTTCACTCCTGGTGGTGGACAGCGAGCTTTTGCTCCCTCTCCATTCCCTGGTATGTCGGCCAATGCAGGTGGCACAGGAACTCCAAGCTCCCAGCGAGGTGTTCCCATGCAATCGCAATCCCAACAGGGTCCACCTCCTCAAGTCGCTCAAGAGCGCCAGAACCCCTACGCCGGCAAGGCTCTTGGATATGATCCCGCACGTCCTTCCGGTCCCGTACAAGAGAAGACAAAGGTGATCACCAACACTCGTATGGAGCTGCCCGAGGAGGCTTATCGTGTACGCGACAATGGAGATGTATGTTTCCAACTTCTCTTTGTATACTTGAATCCGTGTGTGTTATGCTGTTTTGAGAAGAATGGCCTACAGATTGCTCCAGTGGAGTGACTTAGTTGATTGCCTTCACTCAAAATAGAACTATGCATATAGAAGCTCTTGCCTCTTGGGGAGTGAGGTTGTTCCTTCTCAGATTCAATCTAAATGGTCAATCTTCACTTCACTTGCCGGTTTTAGAAGGCTCTCTGGGCGTTCCTTCCCCATTCATTGCCCGTTCACGCTTCACAACAACCAAAAGTGGGGTAACCTAGAGAACCGAGTTCTTCAGGCAGGAATTCAATTCTCGCCTCAAACACTTCTCAAATTCTTACTTGAACCCGCCTTCCTCACCAACTTCCTAGAAACAAACAACAACTCCTCCTTCTTCAAACTTCTTCCCCGTACACACAGTCTACCAAGACAAACAAACACCTTTCACATATCTATCCTCTTCTTTTCATCGCCTTCTCTCAACCCACATTTCCCGTCTTCGTGCTCATCATGGAGCCTTTCAACTACCAACTGCGCCGCCCAGCCGGCATGGATAGAGAAACTAACATTGAGCCCAAGTACAACTTCGAGAGCAAGTTCCCACTGAGAAAGGGTAACTTCAACACCACCGGCAAAGCAATCATCATTCGTGTCAACCAGTTCAAGGTTCTTCAATGGCCTCAAGGACATATTCAACAATATGATGTAAGTTTCACCCCTCGTGCCCCTTCACCTTCAGTAAAATCATCATCGAGCTCAACTTCAACTCGCCCTGTCCATTCCCATTCTCAACACGGACTTCACCTTTGAGGGTTTCACTGACATCATCCAGATCCATATCGGTGATGGTGCTGAGACGCGTGGCAAGGTCTATGCCGCCTGGAACTCCAGAAAAGTTCAAGATCAGCTTCAGAAGTTGTCACCTAACTGGCTCTGGGACGGTAACAAGATTGCATGGTAAGTTTCATGTCCACATTTTTTACAGGTAGCTTTGCTAAGTCCCCTTACAGGTGCCTCGGAGATATCCCTGAGCAGCGCATTCTTGTTGATTTTAATGAGGAGAAGAACAAGCGTGTTCGCCCAGGAGCCCCCCCACCCCCCGAGGATAAAGTCTTTGTCATCATCCGCCCAACCGTTAAAGTCAACATGAGCGTCGTTCAGGCTTATTTGGATGGCACTCTTCCTACTTTTGACAAGAGCATCTTGGCTGCTATCAGTGAGTCCCTCCTTTGCATTTATTGATGTCCACTTCTAACTTCTCTAGACTTCTTGGATCATGCCATGCGCCAAGGCCCATCGGAGACCTATACTATGATCAAGCGCTCATTCTTCAGCAGAGGAAATGTCAGCACTCAGCTGGACAATGTCGTTGTCGCTATGAAGGGTGTCTACACCTCTATCCGCCTTTGTGACGTGAGTTTTGCCGCCATCCTCCACCTCTGTATTTCATCGCTAACTTCCCCACAGCCCAAGGCTTCTATGGGTACTCCAAGCACTGGTTTAGCTTTGAACGTTGATGTTGCCAATGGCACTTTCTGGGCTGCGCAGGAGATCCACCAGGCCGCTCGTAACTACACCAGTCTCCCCCGCAATAGAGCACTCTCCTACCAAGTCTTCCGTGACAATTTGCTTCCTGTCCGTGGTCCAAATGGTCAGCCAACCATGTCTGAGGATTTCAAGACTCTTCGCAAGATGACCAAGTTGAAGTTCATCGTGAAGCATCGTGGCAAGGGTGACGGTAAGCCCTCTCTAATTTTAAACCTTTATTCAAACTCTTTGCTAACATGATGATCCAGACCATAAGCAATACACCATCAAGAGATTTACTTTTGAGAAGGGTGATGCTTATGCCAAGACTGGTGCTCATGCCAGAAATACTAGATTCAAGTACAAGGATCCCAAAAACAACTACGCTCTAGTTGACATCACCGTTGATGAGTTCTTCAAGCGTGTTTACAACATCGACCTCCAGTACTGGTGGCTTCCATTGGTTGAGACTGCCAAGGCTGGCTTGTTCCCCATGGAGCTCTGCACCCTTGTCCCTAACCAGCGTTACAACTATAAGTTGAGCCCTGAACAAGTAAGCAATTATATTCCCTCGCAGACATTGTAATCTAACTTCCCCAAGACTGCCGCCATGATCAAGTTTGCCGTCACCCGTCCCAGAGAGCGACTCCAATCTATCCATCATGGTGTTGGTATGTTGAAGTGGGCTGAGGATAAGTACCTCAAGGCCTTCGGTGTCAAGATTGACCCCAATATGTCCCTGGTATGTATCCATTCCCGGCAATGACAAGTATTCCAATGCGCTAACATCTCAGACCGCTGCTCGTCTACTCCAAAACCCTGAGATCCAGTTCGCTGGTGCTAAGGTCAACCCTGGTACTCAGGGCCGCTGGGATCTTCGTGGCAAGAAGTTCCTCTTGTCCAACCCTGAGCCTCTCAACTCTTGGGGCTTTATCATTGTTGAGGGTGCATGCCAAGAGAGTGTCGTTCGCAACTTCGCTAATGTCTTCATCCAAACCTACATTGGACATGGTGGCAAAGTCCAGAATAAGAACCCTGTCATCTACGCCCAGGCGCATCGTACGAATATTGCAGAAACCATTGCTGCTGCGCGCATTGCCATTGGTAACCAAGTCAAGGCTATGCCTCAGATTCTCTTCTACGTTCTCCCTGCTCGCGACTCATTCTTGTATGAGCGCATAAAGAAGAACTCTGAGTGTCGATTCGCTCTGGTCTCCCAGTGTAAGTTTTCCCGTTTTTCATTTTCCCGTTTTTCATCTCTGAACTTTGCTAACCATATGCAGGCGTCAACGTTGTCCACGTCGTGAAGGCCCAGCCTCAATACTGCTCTAATGTCGCCATGAAGGTAAATGCCAAGCTCGGTGGTACCACTTCGAAGATTGCCGCTCCCAAGGGCTTCTTCAGCATCCCTACTATGATCATTGGTATGTACCTTGTCTCCTGCTCACAAGTGCTTCTGCTCATGAATCCAAGGTGCCGATGTCTCTCACCCTTCTCCGGGTAGTCCTCAGGCCTCCATGGCTGCAGTCACTATGTCTTTTGACAAGGATTGCTGTCGCTATGCAGCTGGTGTTCAGACCAACGGTCACCGCGTCGAGATGATAACCAGACATAACATCGAGACTGTGGTCATGCCAATGGTAAAGAACTGGGTCAACAAGGTCGGTGGTGGTAATCCTCCTAAGCATATCTTCTACTTCCGTGATGGTGTCTCTGAGGGCCAATACACCCATGTCTTGGACCAGGAGGTAGCCGACATGAAGAATGCTTTCGCGTACATGTATCCGGGCAAGGGTGAACATGTTAGTATATCCTCCGCTACTTTTTATGGCTTTTCTGACATTTAGATAGATCAAGTGGACCGTCGTTGTCTGCACTAAGCGTCACCACATCCGCTTCTTCCCCAAGGAGCATGACACTCAGGCTGGTGACCGCAACGCCAATTCCCTTCCGGGTACTCTCGTTGAGAGAGACATCACCCATCCATTTGAGTATGACTTCTACCTGTGTGCCCATGCCGCTATCCAAGGCACCGCTCGTCCGGTTCACTACCATGTGATTGCCGATGAGATCAAGATGCCCATCAATGAGTTCCAGAAGATGGTGTACCAGTCATCCTACCAGTACATGCGCTCCACCACTCCGGTTTCGCTCTGTAAGTCCTCCCTTGCTCCCTGATATAGATCCAGCTAATAGTTTCTAGTCCCCGCCGTCTATTATGCACACTTGGCATCTAACCGTGCTCGTGCCCATGAGTCCAATCCCGCTTCTGACGGCCCTCGCGGTGGTCAGAAATTCGAGGAGAAGATCCAAGACGATGTGGCCCTACGTCGTGTTAATACTGCCGCTCATGGTTCCTCCCAGACCGGCACCTCGGTCCGAACCGAGGCTGCTCCTCTCATGCCTTTGGGTAACCCCGAGAGCGTTGAGATCATGACAAAGATCCGCACTTCCATGTGGTACATCTAAGTCAAGTCTGGTGTGGTATGTGCGTGAGCTTTAGCCCTTTGCTTCTGCTCTTTTCCAAAACTTTCACTTCTTTCTACGAAGATTTACATACTTTTTTTGATCTGCGGATCCCTGGCTGCTGGGGTTTCAGCGCTCATCCTTTGCCTGCTTTCTTATGACTGCGTATGGCGGTGTTGGGTGGCTCCCTCCAGACTTGCAATCACAACTTCACTTCGATGCATAGGGCTTTGATAGAGGCATAGGGATAGACGGATGCCTAGGTACGGAAAACTTTATGGATGATGGGAGACCTGAGACTGAGGATTTATTCAGCAATGGTTAGATAGGAATGCAATCCTTTACAATAACTCTGCCTTTCCCCCGGCCCCTGATTGAGTGTGATTGTGTCTGTGATTTGAGTGACTTCGATTCCTAGGTTTCCTAAATATTTTTAAAATGGTATATAACTTACGGTATTTCAATTTGCAAATGATGGTTAAAGGTGGGGGGAGTCTGGGGGCTGAGAGACAGTCCGGGTGCGTGCTTGACTTTGAGTTTTCGAGATGTTTGAAGATGGGGTTTTTCACCTTCTCCTCATTTCTCTTTTCTCCCATCTTCTCTCTCGTGATAATATCATGATGAGTAAGACGGATGTGACGGGTATGATATAACGGACATGCTATCGAACGATGTACGGTACGTACTTTATATATTCTTTTAGGGGGAGGGGGGGGAGAGGTTTGACGGAATTGGCTATTGAGATGTAGAGATGTAGAGATAGGGAGAAAGAAATGTTGTGTGGTTGTGGGTGAGTAAAGGGGGGGGGGGAGGCCTTAGGGGAAGATTGGTAGTTTTTTGAGGGCCGTTGAGATGGGATGGGGTAGGTTGGGATGAGATGAGATGAGATGGCATGGGATAGGGATCTGATCTAGGAGACGTCTAATTGTAGGAGAAAAGGAGAGAGGATGGCTTTTTTTGGGGGGGAGGGGGGAAAAGGGAGAGGGGGATGATGGGGATGATGTGGTTAATCATCCATTCGTTATTATTAATACTACTTACCTACCTACTTACTTACTTACTTACTTATTTACTTACTTGTGCTATGTTGTACATCTCTTACAAAGTATATGGGGTGAATTTGTAGACTTTTAAAGAAAAATGGATGGGTATAGAATTATTATTTTGTAAGTAAATAAGTGATACATGTCCTTCCTTGACGTTTCATGAAGCCCTTGATACGACGGCGTAAATGTCAATGGAGAGATGCTGGGGATTGTAATCTGACTTTTGAATGCGGTGGAAGTTCTGCATTTGGCTACAGCGTGACTTTTTGGTATCCGCATCCAATTAAACACATGATTCGCACTTTCCACACCCGGAACAGCTCCGCAGCACTATCCTGAAATGCTTTCTAGGGCCTTCTGGTATATAACCCTATAGCTAAGAACGTCGCCGTACCCCATTCGAGGTCCTACTGTGGCAGGCTCTGCCTGCCACCCGCCCGACGTAAATAAATACAACAAGAACACCCCCGGCACAGCATAATTTACCAGCATGGTCCTATAGCACTGAACATGCTCCATCTTTCATCCATGCACTCACTCCTCTCCCTCTTTCTCAACAGCCTGAACAGAATTCGCCCCCGTCCTGAAATCCCGTCCCTTCCCCCTATGCCCACCTCCACCCCTCTCCATCTTTCCAGCAGCAAACTTCTCCCTCGCAAGTTGAATAGCCGATTTCCTCGGCGCTACATCCGGCGCACTCTTCATCACCTTCTTCTTCTCCGCCCATTTTTGATCCCGCTTGATCTTGCGATTCTTCTTCCCTTCGCCGGGTTCAGAGATTGTCGGCTGCTTCTTTCCTTCTTCTTCTTCATCTGCGGCCGGCGCCGCAGTAGGTGGCGGAGGTAAGGATGATGGTTGGGATTGGAGTTTGAGGAGCGCAGACTCCTTGACTTTCTTGACCCAGTCGCTGCGGCGGCGTTTGAAGAGGTCGAGAGACCAGTTTCGCAACACGATGCGGCCTGGGTAGCTGTCGCGGAGCTGGTGCTCGTGGCTGAGGAGAAGGGCGCCAATGCGGTCTGTTAGGGAGAATAGAGGGGTGCTCGGGGATGTAAGGGTTGGTGGGGCAGCAGTGGAGAAGAGCAGGGCGTCGAGGACGTGGGAGCCCGTGGATGATAGGGCGAGGGTTATGGCCGGTGGGAGTTGTGCGTCGTCCGTGGGGGCGGAGGAAAAAAGGAGATTGTTGATTAGTTTTCGGCGGAAGAGAACGTTGTTGGTAGTTTTCGTTTCCTTGGACTTTGTCTTGGAGTCCCACGCGGTGAGGGAGGATGAGGTAGGCAAAAGTGCGGATTGGATGATGTGCGATGTTGTGGTATAGTTTGAGAGGGCGAGGAGCTCGTCTGCGGATAATGCGAGGAGCGCGTCTTGGATAAGAGATTCTGGGGAGAGAGTTTGAGGGGAAGGCTTCCCTTCGGCATCTTTGCGGGCGAGATTACCCGGAATGGAAAGCATACATTGGGCGAGCAGCGAGCCGTGTAGTTGATAGGCGCTGGGTTTCATGGCTGCTGGTGGCGCGGATGCTTCTTCGCCTCCCTTAGGGGGTGCGGGTGACATGATGTCTTCGATGTTGTCAATGCAAGCCATTTTTAGGATGAGTGTCTTGGGATCAGAGCCGTACGCCTCGGCGATTGATTTGCAGAGTTCTTCCGTGTCTGCACCTCGAGCATGGCATCTTTCCAGAATTGTTTTGAGAATGACTGTCCTGTTGCGCTGTACCAGGCCCTCTATTTGGGGGAGGATGGCTGTGACCGCTTCCTCGAGATCCTCTTTGCTGAGACGAGTCAAAACCTTGATGGCTACATATGAAGATATCTCATTTCTAGATATGGCAGCGATGCGATCCTTGAAAACTGTCTTGTAGATTTGCTTGAACAGCTTTCCGGGTGCAAACGTGCAGATTGTTTCTAGTAGACGAGATCCTATAGCATCGTATAGGATACCGTTCACAAATGTTTGGGACTCGCTACCTTCGGCCGTGATGTCGTCTGGGAGTAGAGCTGATATGATGGTCTTCTCGGACGTATTTATTCCCTTTTTGGAATTTGGATTCGTAAGCTCCAGCTCGAGAAGTAGTTGAAGTGTTGGGTTTCCTGTTGGGTGGGTGGCCAGGACTCGGATAAAGGATGTATCCATCGTAGCAATCGTATCTGAGATGATCTTCTCGACGGCGAATTGAAATGAGGATGGGACGGCTCGTTTATTGAGCGAGAGTTCTGTGGGTGCAGTGTCCAGGCCTGTAATGGAGATCTTCTCTTTCTTCTTGCTTTGCATAAGGGTTCTTGTAGACGCCTTTTCGAGAGCTTGGCCCGAGAGAATAACAAGTAGAACCCGGAGAGTGTGGGATGCGAATCTATCAGTGAGCAGAAAAGTCATCTTGCCCTCCAGCTCGTCCAGTGTCGCCAAAAAGAGGTCCTCCATTGACGGCAATTCCTTCCCCTCCTTCATCTCGGCATCCACTTCCACCTCCACACCTTTCTTCTTCCCCTTCTTCGAATCCGCCGTGAGCTCTTCCGTAACAATCGGCGCAGACTGAATGAAGAGAGTCTCGCAGCAATGACTGGCAAACCGATGCTGGATCAAATGTGGATAATTGTCCTTGAATTTCTCAAAAATCCTCTTTTTCTGCTCCACCGTACTCAGCAGTATCAACCTCTCCATCAACCGCGAGCATGACTGACTGCATGCAATCTTCAGCTCCTTGCCTTCTGCCTCTCGGTATACATTCGCCAGGAACAGGGAGCGTTCTTCGTCAGATGGGAAATCGTTATTCTCGAGCAGTTCATCTGCGCGCCGAAAGTATTCCTGCTCTTGGTCCTCGAGCATTCCATAAAAAGGTCTCTCGGTATCCTCACCCTCCTCCTCATCGTCGCCATTAGGATAGTGCGACCTCATGATGGGGTCATCGAGGCCAATGAAGCCGACCTCGACATCCTCCGCGGGCTCTTGCGATTTCTGTCTCTTGGACTTGGTAGGCTGCTCCTCGCCGTTATCCCTCTTGCGCTTGAGTTTCTTCTCTTCTCTCCTCCCTCTACTGTGTTTGTTCTCTTTGGGCATGGTTGATTGTTCTGTATTAAATATCCTGTGTATTCTGCCGTCGTCGTCGTCGCCGTCGTCGCCGCGGGATATTGAGCTGTTGGGTCTCAAAACCGCCGAAATTTTGAACAATTTTGCGGCCGCATCCTAGGCGGTGAGCCCTTCTGAGCGATTCTGCCAATCCCGCCCCACCCGACCCGACCAACCCAATGCCGAATATCTCGCATCATTCTGGCCGCTTTGGTTCTTTTGTTACCAAAGCCCTTAGACCGTGGGGAGGATCGGATTACGCTATATTTGCCCCCCTTAATATGTGATTTTTCATTTCATAAATTTTGCAAATTTTTCTTCCTCTAGATTTCATTCTTCAATATGTACCTTGATTCTTCCATTATGGCTTCAAATGGCACCTCGCTACCTTTAAGAGATGGGCTTGCACAGAAATCGCTTAATCGAGCTGATGAAGTGGATGATGTGAGGATTGAATCTCCCTCATGACGGCTTCCTTTATTCACATTTACCTACTACCATCTTGGAAATTGAGATTGATATCTGACTGACTGAAATAATCACAGTTGTTGAATGCTGTTCAATCTCTGATCATCCCTTTCATCAGATCAGCAGACGAAGATGCTGATACCAAACGTGCGGGTCATGGACTCGCTATTCCTGGTGGCGGTCCTCGCACTGCTCTGGTCGAGCACCACAAGCCTCAGAAGCTTGCTAGTATCATGAACTTTGACCTCCCTGGAGATGGGAAGGGAAAAGAAGGATTGCTAGCTACTGTTGAGCAATTGCTCCAGTACAGTGTCAATACTTGGGATCAAGGCTTCTTGGACAAGCTGTATGCAAGCACCAATGCCGTATGTTTTCCACTTCCATGGAATTCGGCCATGCTATTTTTCTAACCCAAAGAGCCAGGTTGGTGTCATTTCTGAGCTGCTGCTCGCAGTCTTGAATACCAATGTAAGGTTCTTACTCTCTTGTAGATCCTCAGGTCCTGACAGCCTAGGTCCACGTCTTCCAAGTCTCTCCAGCCCTCACGGTAATCGAGAAAACTACAGCAAGAAACTTCGCAAATCTCTTCGGCTTCAACGGGCCTCACGCAGGTGGTATAAGCACGCAAGGAGGCAGCGCCTCCAACACAACGTCTATCATCATCGCCCGCAACAACCTCTACCCAGCCAGCAAAACCGAGGGCAACGCCAACTTTAAATTCGTCCTTTTCACTTCCGCTCACGGACACTACTCCGTCGAAAAAGCAGCTCAGTTGTGTGGTATGGGCACCGATAACGTCTGGTCTGTTCCAATCGATGCTCAGGGCCGCATGATCCCCTCCGAGTTGGAGAAATTAGTTGAGAGAGCCGAGACTGAAGGCAGAACGCCACTCTACGTCAACGCCACAGCTGGCACCACCGTCCTCGGATCCTACGACCCATTCACAGAAATCTCAGCCATATGCAAGAAACACAACCTGTGGCTGCACATCGACGCCAGCTGGGGCGGTCCTGTCATCTTCTCCTCTGAACACAAATACAAAATGTCCGGCTCGCATCTAGCCGATAGTCTAGCCGTGAACCCGCACAAGATGATGGGAGTGCCTGTCACATGCTCATTCCTACTCGGGCCCGATCTGACAAAGTTCCATAAAGCGAATACCCTCCCCGCAGGCTATCTCTTCCACGAAGACTCCTCTAGCGGCGAGGTCTGGGATATGGCGGATCTAACGCTGCAATGTGGACGGCGTGGCGACAGTTTGAAGCTTGCGTTGAGCTGGATCTACTACGGGGCTTCTGGCTTCGAGTCACAGATCGACGACGCCTTTTCCATCGCTTCGTACTTCGCTAGCAAGGTTGAGAAGAATGCGGACTTCGCGCTAGTCTCGGACAACCCGCCTCCTTGTCTGCAGGTATGTTTCTACTATGCTAAGGATGGGAAGTTGCCGGAGAGCAAGGAGGAGAATACGAGGACGACGAGCGCGATTGTGCAGAAGCTGATTCCGAGGGGTTTCATGGTCGATTATGCGCCTGGAGATAAGGGTGCATTTTTTAGGGTTGTGGTCAACAGGGAAACAAGGCGGGAGACGGTGGATGGATTGGTGTTGGCGATTCAGGAGGTTGGGGGGAGTTTGTGAGACCGGGGAGGTAGACTTGAGATAGAGAAAATTCTGCCTTTCCGTTTATTGTTGAAATCAAAATATCGTGATATGTGCTACTTTAATGCGAGATATTCCACAAGCTTGTCAACACATTCAATTGCATCGTCTAGGATACGAAATTAAAACACGGACATAGCGAGAGCGTATATATCTCGTGACCACTTTCCCTATCCGTCAACGTCATAGCTTCAAACACACATGAACTCCTTGCTTCCGTGGACACTTACGGAATACACACCGCAAGGAAACAGAGGCGATGTGCCGAAAGTGGACTTCCTGCAATACTAATACGCAATACTAGAGTACATACTAGCATGGACCTATTTTAGTCTGCCAGAAAGGCGCATCGCCTGTATCTAATCGACAAGTATGAACCCGAGGGTCATTTTTGCGACTGGCCAGTCACCCGCTTACATGCAACCTGGCAACCACCTGAAGATATGGAAAGCAATTATTGTGCGGGAAAATACAGAATGAAGCAGTTCCACCTCTTTTCTTTTGTGAAGTATTTTCATTTCCAAGAAGGATGAATTCCGGATTCCGGATTGCGGTGAAGATATCGTATAGAAATAAATAAGGTAAGCGCTGGCTAAGCGGAAGCGGCGTGAGCAGAGCAGTCAACATGCCGAGCTAGCTAATGCCCGATATTAAAACCTCCAAGAAGTCTTGAAAAGTTTTCCTCAACATTTCGCTTCTTCTTCGTTAGAGCTCTTGACATCTCGATTGGCATCTTATTCGATGGTCGTCTACCCAGTCGAAGTCGCATTCTCGGATGACTCGCCTTACGAGGAAGTCTGAGCTGCTGTTACATAGGACTACTGTTGGAATATAGGGTTTCGCACCTATTCCCTTGTCTAGATTAGCCTCTTGGCTACTCTCACGTATATAGCCCTCAGCACTCTCACACTAGATTCGATACCTTCTACACTCTTGATTCTATCAACTACCGATGGGGGAGGAAATGCAAAACGAAATCAAAAAGTGCAAACCCACTCACGCTCCTTTAGCAGTTTGGTCTTCTCAGGCCTCCTCTCCAACTACGAAGTACATGCTCCGGAGGCGCTACGCGGGATGGTGGCACAGCTGAAACTACATCACCGCCGCCACCTCTCGACGCCGGTCTCGTCATCTCCACCATTGTCAAGTTCTTCGCGATCACACTTCCGGGCGTCAATATTCCCATCTGGTGGGGCAACTTCGCGGTCTGTAATACCACCGTACGTATCTTGTGCAGAAAAATATCGTGTTTTGCATGGTTCCAAATCAAACGCCGTATATCGTGACGTAGCTCGGCTGATTGAGTGATGATAAATTGTATGTACGAGAGAGATCTAGCCTACCTATCAGATCTGATTACCTTGTAGACTACCTACTGTCAACTCAATTCTCGAGCAGGTGCATGGAATATATCTGGGATGTCGAGAAGTGGATGCCAAGGCTCGGTTGGAGGATATGATGTCGGTAATGTAACAACATCTGCTCTAAATCGACAAAATCGTCGGGCATCTAAGCATTGTTACCCCAATATTATTTTATCTTGGCCCGTTGGATATCATCGCTCGGAGAAAATACCTTCCGGGATTTCCCCGATCCAAAACTGTACACAGGCTGTTGGCGTGTCCAAGTCGGATAAGTCAGGAGATCATAGCACACGTGATGTAAATCGCCGCCCATACTTAATGAGCGTCTGCAATTTTGTTCACGTACCCCAGAGATCCAAAGAGCTTAGATTATAGCGGAGTCTCGCTTTGTCAACGATAAAAAACTCGGCAGGCTCGTAAGACAGGCCTGATGGAAGACCGCATAAGACAAACTCGACGATTAGAAAAGCAGCTTCGATATCACAGAGTACGTCGTCGGACCTCGCTGGTACGCGAATTATAAATTATATGCAGCAATTAATGTACCATCCGTCTTCTAATCTTTGGCACCGATATTGACAGCCAAATAGTCGGGAATGGAAAAAAAACCCCCCGGAGAAATTGTCACCGGTACAGTAAGAGAAAATCAATGAAGTGGTAGCGAATAGATATTCATTACTCATCATAGCTTGCCGAAGTAGCTGTTCGCGAAAGATGTTTCCCCATCCGATCTTATCCTTCCGTTCGGATTGATCGCATCTTTGACTTGCGTATTACAATGTCTCATTTCGCTGATTGTGTGTCTGTGTACATATTTTAGAGGTAATTTAGAGCCAGCGTCGGTAGACGCTTGATAAAATGTTAGTGGGTATTTTCAGAATGATCTCCTCATCTGGAGCCGAGGGGTGAGACATACACTTGATTACTGCGGCAGCGTCGAATGCTTCGACATTTCCGTCGGGGCCGGAAATCGGTGCGGCTTCGGCCTCGACTTGAGAGTGGTGATAACTGGGAAAAATCTAGCTGCGTGGTCTTTCGGGATGGCGGGTTCAGACTGAGGTCTACGGTAGAATTGGAGATTGATCTTGACTCATCCAAAACGGAGAACTAAGAGAGACGTACCACTAGGACGTTGAGGCATATCAATAAGACCAGCAAAGGTAATAGCAACAAGGGACAGAAGAGCAGCAACAGTGAAATACATATTAAAGGTAGTTTATGTCGAGGAACCTGAAAGCTGGCTGAAGAAGAGCGAGGGTTAGGCCGTCCGGCAACGGAGATCGACTGGCTAGCAGGAAGATAGAAAGTAGGAAGTAGAAAGTCGAGAGCCAATATATATATATATATATATATATTGAGATAAGGGGAAATAAAATGAATATAGAGAATGAAGAAAAAGAAAAACAGACAGCAGGAGTGGGAGGGTGATATGTAGGTGTAGTGCCAGGGAGGTTACGCTTCCCCCTGTTTATCTTGAAGGCGAGCTCGGTTATGGGATATTCGCCGGGCTGAGCCTAGACAGCGCCGACCACAGCTGCCATCTCATGATGGAGCTGTCTGCGTAGCAATTCCAGGTTCAGGCCTGCAAGTCCATATTCAATTTGGAACTGGCTGATCAGCTGGGTAGTGCGATACGCTTTTGTATTTGGGACGAGGCTTGTCTCGCGGCTTGAGGTTGAAGGCTCAAATCCTTGTTAACGACTGGCTGTGTTCCTGCAAAAAGGAGGATACTGGAGCGGGAGGAGTCTGAACGAGTTCTGAGAAGTTGAGACGAATCTGAGAAGGGGAGTAAGATGCATATGATGGAAGCGAGAGGGTACGAGGCTCCTTTGGGTTGGAAGCGCCGGTTTTGAGGATGGGAAGAGCAGGATCCGATAGACAGATCATTTACACGCTGCAATTTAAAATCTCCAAACTGTACACTGAGATCGGCGTTGATAATTCTGAGAGCTGTCATCTTTCGACAGTTTGATGTTGACGGACAGGAGGGTCTGAGACGAGGTGTTGAGCCGTAAGAGATCAGGGGTAGTAGACGAATCACGTTGCAGTGGTATTCTCAAGCCAAACGACGACAAAATAATATATCGGAAGCAAGAGAAGACTCGTTGAATTACATAGATGCATACTTACGAATCATCAAGGAGTATCAAGAAAACGTTTCTTAATAATCGGGATATAGTATCACGTGCATTACGCTCCTGCACTTGTACCCCCGCCTTGATGTCAACCCCGCGATTCCATATGGACAACCCAAGCGTCACATCTCAACTATTGTCTTTTCTACGAGCTCACTCGGGATTCCCCAAGTCTAGATCTCACTCTATTAACTTCACCCGAGTCTTTGAGAATAATTTCAATTTAAAGCTTCTTATGAACGCCGACCTCGTTCCCCTTGATAGTCATCCTATCATATCATATCACAGCTTTTCCTCTCCCCTCCTCTCCTCAACCTCAACCTCAATCTCAACCACAACCACAACACCACCGGCATCATGGCTTCCGTAGAGCACTGCCTCTACTGCTTCGAAGTACTCTCCGCAAATCTCGAAAAGCGTCAACCCATGACCCTCTACCAAGTCCAAGCCTCCTGGGCCTCCTACCACAAAGGCCTCGAAGACGACGACGACACAACCCTCCCCGAACCCGACGACACCATCGCCACCGTCTCACCCTCTCCATCTCCCCCGTCTGGGTCCTCAAAATCCAAACTCCGAATCCCCGTCCTCCAACGCCTCGGAAGAAGCTCTTCCTCACATTACACGCCCTCAACCTCAACCTCGTCATCCTCCCTAGCAGCAGACACAGCAGCCACCACACCCGAGAGCTCCACCAGGGCATTCTCGCCGGTGGGACTCCACCCGCGACGCACCTCCCAGCGCTCCAACACCATATCCTCCTCCCCGCTTTTCGTGACTTGGAACACGATCGACTCGTCCTCGTCCCGCTCGCTGCGCGGCTGCATCGGTACCTTCGAGTCGCAGCCGCTGTCGAGCGGCCTCAGCTCCTACGCCCTCATCTCCTCGCTTCAGGACCACCGCTTCCGCCCCATCACGCTGGCCGAGCTCCCGAAACTCGAGGTCTGCGTGACCCTGCTGACGGATTTTGAGCAAGCCACCGATGCCCTGGACTGGGAGCTCGGCGTGCATGGGCTGAGAATCTCCTTCTACGCGAGGAATAAGAGGTTTGGGGGCTGCTATCTGCCCGACGTGCCGGTCGAGCAGGGCTGGGATAAGGAGGAGACGGTTGTGAGTCTGATGCGGAAGGCTGGGTGGAATGGGCGAGCGGAGAAGTGGAAGGATGTCAGTGACTTCAACACGGTGCGGTTTCAGGGGAAGGCGGAGAGTTTGGGGTTCGCGGAGTTCAGGCGGTGGAGGGAGTGGGTGAGGAAGGGGGAGGGGGAGGCGAAGCAGTAGACGAGAGGGGAGTATCAAAGACTAGGATCCTGGGAGGCGTGATAGGCTGCTGATGAGGCGTTCTTGGGGCTGGGCTATGGGAGAATTCGGATCAGGCCTGGGACCGGGTATGGGGTGTATGCGCTGACTTGATTTGCTTTTAGATTCGGGGCATGGTTGAGTCGAATGTGGCAGACATTTAGACCGCGCAGGGCTCGTGGAAGTAGCACGACAGAGCAGACTACCATATGTGTTCAGCACAGAATATCTCTTTCTCTCTCTTTCTCTCTCT